CTCTTTCAGAGCTGATGCTTAGAAAGTTAAGTAGTTAGTTCCATAGTCAAATACTACTTGTATGCTAGTGATGCCACTGCTTTCCATTGCTTTTTGCGCTTCTTGGCTATATTTAGCTGTGTAAATTCATTTTTTAACTTCATCTTTTCATCAGTGTTGTACTCTTACGTGAATTGACATGAAATTATATCTAGGAGGTAGTATAAACAGTGAAGCTTGCTGGTTTGTTTTGTCCTGCAATTCCACAACTGTAAAATACAAAGCTGTCGGTGATGAGGTATCCTCGTGCATTTTGGGCTAAGTGACAAAGGCCAGGTAGAGTTCTGAACTAAAGTGAAGATAATGTCAGAAGCGTTTTGTGTTAATTTCTAAATGCTTTGGTTCTATGACCTCTACAAGAAACACTTATGTAGGAGCTATATAGGAAGCTGACAGATACAATTACCCTTAGTGACAAAATATTCTGATCACTGAAGGACTTTCCATGATGTTAAGTGTTACAGAGTGCTGCCAGAGAAAGAGAGTAAGCAGTTGTAAATTTCATTCAGTGGGTTGGTTGTTAACCATTGGGAGTTTTTTCTCCAAATCTAGCATTTAATAATAGGCTGGAATGTCTTCTAGGCAGTTTGAAAGTATATTGGTTTTGTGCATGGATGCAACCTTGTTTATATAGCTGAGCTGACAGTAAGCATAGACTTTGAACTCGTGCAGCTTAAGGTTTCCTGCCCTTGGCAAAAAGTTTCCAATTGTATGATTGTTCCTTTTAGGGTCCATATCTTCGTGTGATGCATTCCTGAATGTATTTCAGTCCAGAGGTTTGAGACCAGAAGTAATCTGTCCCTGTGCTAGTTCTTCAGAGGCACTAACAGTTGCTATTCGCAGGTAATTCTCTTTTCTGAGAAGTGAACTGAAGCATTTCTTGACTACTGAAATGTATCTGGTGTTAAAATGGTAGTCAGAAGAGACCATTACCCACAAAAAGATGCCCGTAGACCTAGACAGAGGAAGTCTGAGGCTCGCAGGGTGATGGATGGGTGATTTTTGTTTGTTTTCTTTGAAAAGTTTAATATTTTCTAAAGTAGTCAGCCATAAGGTGGGGTTTTTTTTACTGCTTGGGAAAGTGCCAACTGATGTTGCTAGAGGACCTTTATAAAATGCCCTGAGAATCAAGACTGTTACTTATTTGGGAGGAAAAAGATGCTGCATCTTCAAGTAATTGCTTATATGCAAAGTCTTGCAAACAGGGGACTAAAGAAAGAAAAAATATTTTTAACTGGTCTGATAAATACCATTGGATTTCCGGAGACAGCAAAGGATGCTCTGAAAAAAGGAAATACTTTGATTATATTAATAGACATATGGATGGAATATGCTGGCATTTTTGACAGTGGTTTTGATCAAAATGTGCTTTTTTGGAAAACCAGTTTCAAGAAAACTTGAAACAAAAAAGTCTGAGATTTTGCAGAGTGCTTTCTCTGGTGAGAGAACTGACATTTATTTCCCAATTCAAAAAAATTGCACTTAACTTTTTTACAAAGCACCAGGAATATTTTGCTCTGTTCCATCCTGAGATTTGAACAGTTACACAAAATGGAATTGTTGGTCCTCAGTCAATTCTGCTCAGAGTAAGAAGTGTCAAGCCCTCCAGACACTCACTAATTTTTCCTGATGTTTAGAAAATTTAGTCTTTGAATGTTTATTCTTGACACTTCTTTGCCTCTAATAGAACTAAATCCTCTCTGTAACATTTTAGAGCGGGGTGGAAGCTATGTGATGTTTTGTTCTAGCTCCTTTTTCATCTAGTCAAAGTATATTACCAGTCTTAAACTCTTTTTTGTTTAAAATGAGAAACCATTGTTTCTCTTTACCTTAACAAGCCTGAGAGACTTGCACAATGGTTTGGATGACCATATTGCCGTTCATTTGTTAATCCATATTCAATTTGACTTTCTGTTTTTCAGACCTCCAGAACTGGGTGGGCCTCCTCCAGGAAAAGCAGTGTTATCTATGAATTGTCTGAGTTTTGGCGTGATAAGAGTGGATACAGAAGAGAAGTTGTCGGTGTTAACTGTACAGGATGTTGGTCAGATTATGCCTGGAGGTAGGAAAGCATTTCATGTAGGTTTAAGCATACTCCACAAAAGTTATCTTTACTATTACACTTGTGCTGATAAAATAAATAAAAATGCCAAATGGTAAATAGCTTCAAGGCAGTATGACTTACATTTTGATGCATTATCTAAACACATGACGATTAGTTACTGTCTCAGTAGATTATTCAGTGTTTTCAGTAGAGATTAATCGACAATAATTTGAATGACCATTGGTTTTGGTGCACGCAGATGCTTGCTGTTGTCTGGTCTGCAGAGTTGTTTTAGTGTTCACTTGTTAGCGTTGGTGCTGACTGATGTACAGCTGAGAAGTATGGCAGAACAAAACAAAGCGTAAAGCGTGGTGAGAAATACTGCCTTTCATCCAGGAGTAATAGTCCACGTGCTAGAATAAAATAGAATAGAATATTTCAGTTGGAAGGGACCTGCAATGATCATGTAGTCCAACTGCCTGACCAGCACTGACCACGTTAAAGCGTGTTGTTAAGGGCATTGTGCAAATGCTTCTTAAACCCTGACAGGCTTGGGCCATCGACCACCTCTCCAGGAAGCTGTTTCAGGGTTTGGACACCCCCTCTGTAAAGAAATGCTCCCTAATGTCAAGTCTGAACCTCCCCTGGTGCAGCTCTGAACCATTCCCATGCGTCCTGTCCCTGGATCCCAGGCAGAAGAACTCAGCACTTCTCTCTCCACATCCCTTCCTCAGGAAGCTGCAGAGAGCAGTGAGGTCGCCCCTCAGCCTCCTTTTCTCCAAACCCAACAAACCCGGAGTCCTCAGCTGCTCCTCATAGGACATGCCTTCCCTCCTCATCACTAGCTTTGTTGCCCTCCTCTGGACGAATTCATGTATCTGGGATCACAGAGACATGGTGGGATACAATTTCTTGGGGAAGGACAGGAGGGGGAGCTGTCCTGTGTGCGAGGGAACAGTTGGAGTGCATGGAGCTCACCTGAGGATGATGAGCCAACTGAGAGCTTGTAGGTAAGAATTAAGGAGCAGAGCAGTATGGGTGACATTGTAGTGGGTGTCTGCTATAGACTGCCTGACTAGGAGGAACAAGAGCGTGAGGCTTTCGGCTTTCTGCAGACAGCTAGAAGCAGCCTCACATTTGTGGGGGACTTCAGCCACCTTGATGTGTGCTGGAGGGGACAGCATGACAGGGCATAAACAGTCCAGGAGGTTCCTGGAGAGCACCAGTGACAAATTCCTGACCTAAGTGACAGAAGAGCCAGTGCGGAGAAGGTCTTTGGACATTGTACTCACAAATGAGGAGGCACTCACTGAGGATGTGAAGGTCAAAGGCTACAGGGACCATGAGACAGTAGAGTTCAGGATCCTGAGAGGACAGAGCAAGGCAAAAGCAAGATCACAACACAGCACTTCAAGAGGGCCGACTTCGGCCTCTTTGGAGATCTGCTTGGTAGAGTCCTGTGAGATAAGACCGTGGAGGGGAGAGAGGCCCAAGAAAGCTGGTTGATATTCAAAGATCACCTTCTCAAGATCAAGAGCAGTCCATCCCCAAGAGCTGGAAGTCGGGCAACAATGCCAGGAGCCCTGCATGGATCAACTAGGAGCTGCTGTCAGAAATCATACGTCATAAGGACATGTACAGAAGGTGGAAGCAGGGGCAAGTAACATGGAAGGAATACAGAGACACCGTCCTAGCATGCAGAGATGGGTTAAGGAAAGCCAAAACCCAACTGGAACCTGAATCAGGGGAGGGATGGTAAAGGCAACAAGGAGGGCTTCTATAAATACATAGGTAACAAAAGGAAGACCAGGGAACATGAGGGCCTGCTGCTGAATGAGGCAGAGCACCCAGTGACACAGGACATGGAAAAGGCTGAGATACTGAATGCCACCTCCACCTCAGTCTTTACCATTCGGACTGGCTTTCAGAAATCCCAGGCCCTGGAGACCTAGGGGAAAGTCTGGAGCAAGGAAGACGTACCCTTGGTAGAAGAGATGAAGTTAAGGAATACTTCAGCAAAGTGCATATGCACAAGTCCATTGGCCCTGATGGGATTCACGGATTCACCCATGAGTGCTGAAGGAGCTATTTGATGTCATTGTGAAGCCACCCTTAACAATCTTCCAATGACCAAGGGGATTGGGAGAAGTGCCTGAGGACTCAAGGAAAGCAAATGTCACTCCGGTCTTCAGGAAGGGCAAGAAAGAGAATCCAGGGGACTACAGGCTAGTCAGCATCACCTCAAATCCTGGGAAGGTGGTAGAACAACTAATTCTGGGAACATGTTTCTCGGGCACCTGAGGGACAGGAAAGTTATCGGGAACAGTCAGTGTGGATTAACCAAGGAGAAGTCGTGCTTTCCCAAACTGATTGCCTTCTACGATGAAGTGACTGGCTTGGTAGGCGAGGGGAGTGCAGTGGATATTGTCTACTTGACTTTGGTCAGGTTTTGGAAACTTACTGCTGTTAGATCCTCACAGAGAAGCTGGTGAAGCTGGATGAGCAGATAAGGAGACAGACTGAAAACTAACTGGGCAGCCAGGCCCAGAGGATGGCGATTGGTGGCACGAAGTCTAGTTGGATGCCAGTAACTGGCTATGTAGCCCAGGGCTCAGTACTGGCTCCAGTTCAGCATCTTCATTAATGACCTGTATGATGGGCCAGAGTGTATCTTCAGCAAGTTTGCTGATGATAGAAAGCTGGAAGAATGACCAGTGGGTTGTGTTGCCGTCCAGAGTGACCTTAACAGGCTGAGGGAATGGTCTGACAGGAACCTCAGGAAGTTCAACAAGGAGAAATGCAAAGTCCTGGCCCCTGGGGAGGAGTAACCCCATGCACCAGGACATGCTGGGAGCCAACATCAGCCAGCAGTGTGCCCTTGCAGCAAAGAAAGCTGATGGTGTTACTGGGCTGCATTAGCAGGAGTGTTATCTGGAGGTCAGTGGAGGTGGTTCTTCTCTGCTCTGCACTGGTTAGGCCACAGCTGCAGTACTGTGCCCATTTCTGGGCTCCACAGTACAAGAGAGAGGTGGAGCTACTGAAATGAGTCCAGCAAAGAGTCACTAAGATCACTGTGGGACTGGAGCATCTCAGCATAAGAGAAGAAGCTGAGAGAGTGTGGAAAAGAGAAGGCTTGGCGTGGGGGATCTCACCAGTGTTTACAAATATCAGAAGAGAGGTTATAGAGAAGACTGTGTCAGGCTCTTTTCAGTTGTGTCCCGTGACAGAACAAGAGCAAATGGACACAAACTGAAACACGTGAGCTTCCCTCTGAACAGAAGGAAGACCTTTTTCCACTATGAGGGTGACTGAGCACTGGAATGGGTTGTCCAGAGAGGTTGTGGAGTCTCCATCTTTGGAGATATTGAAAAGCTGTCTGGACATGGTCCTGGGCAACTGGCTCTAGGTGGCCCTGCTTGAACTGAGGGGTTGGTCCAGATGGCCTCCAGAGGTCTCTTCCAGCCTCAGCCATTCTGAGAGTCCCAGACTCTGGATATCCCAGCACACTGCTCAGTCCTGGGTTAACCTCTAGTTTCTTAATTACATCAGTTTGCAACACTGTGCTTCCTAAAGTGGGTAGATATGGTATTGTTCCCCAACCCATTAAGTGGATTGAGGCGAAGAGACTTTATCTTCCCTGTTGCTCTCTTTTGAGGCTAGGCTGCTGAGTCATGCATTATTTGGAGAGGAGAGCACTCTGAAGAAGATTAGTGAAGTTAGCATGCCAAACCAGACCTAAGACTCTGGACAATGGCTGGAGTCTGTCCTGAAAGACCACTTAGTGCCCTCTACTCCAGAAGTGAAGACTGCAATATTTAAGTTGGTAGTGTAACGTTCTTTGGCACTGTCCCTCTGAGGGTACCACTAGCTTCAGGCGCTGTCCTGACCTGGTCTGGATGTGCTTGGAGAGGATGAGATACACATTTTTTTGAATTCTCCTTACCCCTTCGGGTTTACTATGTAGTGACCAAAGAACCTGATTTGTCCTGGTCATGCTCTTGGCACCTGTGGCTGTGCTATTCTTGATCCTGGCCAGCAGGAGGGTTTTGATACATTCCTAGATATGTTCACAGAACTGGGTGAATTCTGCATATCCTGTTAGAGTTCAGTGCCAGGCACCCTGAAGGAGGTGATACCTGGGAGGGTCTGAAAAATCCTTGCATCCTCTTTGCTCTGGCAGTTACCGTTGTATCACCATCTCTCTTTTCGGCTTGTGATCCATGAGCATACTATAGTGTCATGGGTTTCAGTCAAGATAGGTGGGCCAGGTAATTTACAAGGAAATAACTTCTGCTTAAACTTAACACTCTAGGAAGTAAGGTTGTAAAGGCAGGGCAATGTGGATACAGCCATCAAGGATAAAGGCTGCGCATTGTTGTATGACCTCCATGTGAAAGCATGCTCAAGGGTTGTGTCAAGGAAAAAAGAGTATGATGACCTAATCTGACTTCATGGCTTCTGAATTGCTTCATCTGAATGCTCAAATTCAGGTTGTTAACCTTGTCTGCAAAGACCCAGAAGATGGTCAGCTGCAACTGGCTTCTGTGTCTCAAGAGAATGGTTATTTTTCCACTTCAACTAGAATGCAGATGACATGGACTACTACTGCTGTCTGGTTTGAGTGTTCAGACTACTGATGTCTACTTGAAACCCCACTGAAATTTGACTGTGCTCCCAATCATCTACTTAGATTATGAGTTAGTCACAGGAACATGGAGGGGACAAGTTTGCATGCCCTTCGGATAGTCGTGGATCTTTTGGTGAACCGACTGAGGTTGAACATGATGTTGGTCCAGTTTTTGAGAGTTCAAAAAAGTGGTATTTGATGCAGGATTGATTAAAATCTTTCTTTGAATCAATTTATCACATGGAGATCCTCGTGGCTTTGCTGTGGGCTTGCTCACTGGGCAGAGTGTGCTTGACTACAGTAGGGCACATGGCAGCATACAGCTGTGTTGCACCTTAAGCTGCTCTTCATATTCAGCCAATACAGCTGTAAGCCCACTTGGTTAATCTTC